CTATTTTTACTTTTATAGTTAATTTTCTATATTAACTTCCCTCTATTTAGCCGCTTAGCATGGATTTTATCCAAATAGTCAACATGAGCTCCTTTCTTACTGACTGGATTGTAACCTAACACACAATAAAACAATTTTTTTAATTGTATTTGTGGTATGAGTGTAATAATTCTCTGCCACCATAATATATTTATAAGATATATTTATATTTCTTTCATTTGTACCTTTTTTCAGTTTTGCTATAGGGCACATACACTCACTAGAGAGAGAGAAAGAGAAGGAAATGAGAAATAACCACCCCCCCGAGGGATGATCACACCCAATCCCTTCTCCTCCATTCTCTTTTGGGGATTTTGGAAACTTATGCACATGCACCTGGCATGTTTTTTGAACCGTTGGATCCAGGACTTGAACAGCACAGTCGGTCATGTGGGATCCAGCGGCCTTAACCTCTATACCACCTATTGGCCCAATATATTTATGTGCCTAAAAATTAATAACATAAGAAAACTGAGCTTTTAAGTATATCAATGGAAATCACCATAACGAAGTTCTATGGGTTTTTAGAAAAGAAGTCAAATTATTATCTTAGCATTTTATAAGAAATTTAATATTAAAATAGTCCTTTTCAAAGAACTTTTTTCCCAGTTAATATAAGAGGCTGCAAAATTTTATGAGAAAATGGAATGGAAGTACACATTTATTTTGATGCAAAATTTTTTGAAATCCACGCATAGCCTTTTCATAATATGTATTTTCTATGGAATTTTTGAAGACTTCTTGTTCAGACACATGTCCTACAATCTCCTTGTAAGCTGCCTTTCTCTCTTGCAGAGGCTACTGAGATCTGGCTCTATGCATCCTGGGCCTGGTAGGTGGCAAATGAATGGTGTTAGGATGTAAGTGCTATTGTTTGGTAAATGGGATTCAAATTTCATTTGTTTTCATCAGTATCATCTTTAATTTATTTATTTTATGCTATACCTGCACTAGAGAGAAAGAAAGTGACCCCCCCAACAAGGCCTGATCAGATCTTCAGTTCTCCATCCCATCAGAACCCTGTATATACAGAGGCAACCAGCATGTTTTCCATATCACCAGGTCAGAGACTCTAATTCTGGTCAGTTATGTAGAATCCAGTGTCCTCTGGGCAGCATTTGATTGCTATTCTATAGGGCTGACCCTATTTTTACTTTTATAGTTAATTTTCTATATTAACTTCCCTCTATTTAGCCGCTTAGCATGGATTTTATCCAAATAGTCAACATGAGCTCCTTTCTTACTGACTGGATTGTAACCTAACACACAATAAAACAATTTTTTTAATTGTATTTGTGGTATGAGTGTAATAATTCTCTGCCACCATAATATATTTATAAGATATATTTATATTTCTTTCATTTGTACCTTTTTTCAGTTTTGCTATAGGGCACATACACTCACTAGAGAGAGAGAAAGAGAAGGAAATGAGAAATAACCACCCCCCCGAGGGATGATCACACCCAATCCCTTCTCCTCCATTCTCTTTTGGGGATTTTGGAAACTTATGCACATGCACCTGGCATGTTTTTTGAACCGTTGGATCCAGGACTTGAACAGCACAGTCGGTCATGTGGGATCCAGCGGCCTTAACCTCTATACCACCTATTGGCCCAATATATTTATGTGCCTAAAAATTAATAACATAAGAAAACTGAGCTTTTAAGTATATCAATGGAAATCACCATAACGAAGTTCTATGGGTTTTTAGAAAAGAAGTCAAATTATTATCTTAGCATTTTATAAGAAATTTAATATTAAAATAGTCCTTTTCAAAGAACTTTTTTCCCAGTTAATATAAGAGGCTGCAAAATTTTATGAGAAAATGGAATGGAAGTACACATTTATTTTGATGCAAAATTTTTTGAAATCCACGCATAGCCTTTTCATAATATGTATTTTCTATGGAATTTTTGAAGACTTCTTGTTCAGACACATGTCCTACAATCTCCTTGTAAGCTGCCTTTCTCTCTTGCAGAGGCTACTGAGATCTGGCTCTATGCATCCTGGGCCTGGTAGGTGGCAAATGAATGGTGTTAGGATGTAAGTGCTATTGTTTGGTAAATGGGATTCAAATTTCATTTGTTTTCATACCTCCCAAGGTGCTTATGGGAAATAAACAACCCCCCCCCCCTTCACTCCAGTGGCTGTGGAGAACCGGTGTATTTTCCTGCTGCAAGGTACACAATATTTCTAAAATTGGCCTCTAAGAGCTTTGCATTTATAGTCAGTGCTTTGGAAAGGCTCAGCAACAATTTCTGGAATCTCCTTTGGTAACACTGCATGGGTGTGGTGCAAACATGAGGCTAGAAATACTTCAGTCCCTAGGCAGGCACAGTGATGTACACAGACAGTCTAGCCTCTGAACTTGGTTCTCTCAGAATAGAAGTGGCACGTGAGCATCCATTCACGGCCTGCCAGCAGTCATAATAACAGAAGGGGATTGTCAGAGGGAGCTAGAATACAGTCAATTGTTGGAACAATTTTTTTTTCTATCAGATTTTTTCCCTTATATTCTGAAAAAACAAACTTTGTATTTCTATAAACTGTTTCACAGTGATTGTCTGCATAGTAGACTCAATGCTGCACCCACATGGGAAAGGCAGTCTAAGCCAAACATGTGACAGCCTTTGGAGTATACAAGTGCACAAGCCCAGGGCTCCTGTATTCTCCCCACCTAAAACTTCAGTGCTCAGATGTCCTGGGTTTCCCCACCTACAGGTATCCCGGTAAAGGTATCCTGTACAACAGCCAAAAGAAAGTTTGAGGCTTCTCTCTGGATTTCAGAGAACATCCTCCTACACACCCCAGACAGTTTGAAAGAATTCCCTTTGGGTAAGAACCCTTCTTAGGATGAAGCAGCATTATCTGACGGCCAGTACACACTTGTTTGGCTGCATCCATTTTTGCACTATTGAAATAATCCTGCACTGACCAGAAGCCAGCAGAGTCATCAAGCTCCTGGATGCCCCACTCTACCCCAGCCTCTTAGGACTTCTTGGCTAAATCATCTCATAACTCACCAACTCAAAGGTTACCCATTGCCATGGCAGGAAGCCCCCAGCACCCAGTCCTAGTGTGAAAATAAATTCTGGTCAGATGGTTCTCATGCCAGTTGTTAAATGTCTTTAATGTAACTTCTGCCAAGAAGATGCAAGATATGAAAACTAGTGCTGTCCACAGGAGTTAGTTTCTTCCTCAAAGTGGTTAGAGTCACTGAAAGTTTCAGTCTACCCAGACTGCTCAGCGGCCAGATGTTGCAGGTTTCAAATCCTCCACTTTTTTTTTTTCCCTTGAGAGAGTTTTGCTACAGGGTGCGTGCACTCACTGGAGAGACAAAGAGACAGAAAGGGAGAGAACAAACCCCAGGGGGATGGCCATGCCGCAATTCCTTCTCCTCCATTCTCCTTTCGGGATTTTGAGCACGCATCCGCATACATACTTGAACTTAGAGTGAGTTTCGAGCCACTGGCTCCGGGACTGAAATGGCAATTGGCCATGTGGGAGTCCAGCAATGTAATCATTACGCCATCTACTGATCTACTGGTCCCCCTCCTTTCTTTCTTTCTTTCTCTCTTTCTTTCTTTCTTTCTTTCTTTCTTTCTTTCTTTCTTTCTTTCTTTCTTTCTTTCTTTCTTTCTTTCTTAGAGTGTTTTTGTTATACGGTGAGTACACTTGCCAGAGAGATAGAAAGCAAGAAATCACCCCTACCCCCTGGGGGTATGGCCACTCCGCAATCACTTCTCATCCATTTTCTTCTCGGGGTCCTGGGCACTCATGCACATGCATCTGGCATAAATTTTAAGCCTCTGGGTCTGGGGTTCAAACTGTTATTGACTACGTGGAAGTTCAACCATGTAATCACTATGTCATCTGCTGGTTTCCCCACCACTTTCTTTAGGGAGTTGAAATAAGGCTTTCCCAGCATCCGCACCAGAACTTACATGTACATGACTAGATTCTTTTTCTAAGAACCCCTCTGCATATTCCCAGGGTGACTTCCCCACAAGGATGGTTCTGCAGCTCTGAAGCAGAGCATGGCAGAGCAGCACAATGGCACAGGAAGGCCAGAGGCTCACCATGAGCTTCTCCAGCTCCAGCTGTGCTGAGCGACGTTTATGTGACAGCCTGTCTGCTTCCTGAGATGAATCACAGAAAATTAGAGATGGGAAAGACCTATTAGGTCATCTAATCTGTACCCCTGCCAGTTTACAGTCACTCCCCTGTGCTCCACTTCCTAGTGCATCCTCCAGTTTGGTTTTAAATAGCCTGGAATGCAGAGAGTGCTGCTTCTACGCCTTCTTCACTGAAACTTCTCTTGCATGTGCTTAATATTTGATGTTTATTTACTCTAGCTTTCTGTTTACAGTAATGTCAGGTGACTCACTTGCCCTAACTTTCCCCTTACAAAAAAAAAAAAAAAAGAAGCAGCAGCTCCAAATTCCTGATAATAATTACAAAGTGGGTACTCTCTACTGACTAGGAAAAAAGTAGTTTCAGGAGAATCAAAGAACTAGATAGAGGAAAGGGAAATGATAAGAAGAACTTCTGTTACCTTACTTCAACTTTGTTATTTCAGTTATATGCTTATTTAGCGTTGTTCAGCTTTGATGTTAATAGCTAGAATTATGAGTAAGCAGTATTATTGGTTTGTGTTTTCACATTGACTTCCATCTCAATTTTTAATTTGATTACTCATCCTCTTTCTTTCTATATTATATTTAAGATCTCTGCTCATCACTGTGATTCCAATAAAGACTACTCCAAATATTCTAGCAGTTTACCTATTCTATTTTCTAATCTTTTTTTGTCCATTTGAATCTAGCTAGACATAAGAAAAATAGTAAGGCTGCCACACACTTTCTGAATAGTTATTTAAGAAAAAGTTCTGTTTTTCTTTAACAATACCCAGTTAGTAGACCACCTTGTGGATACCATTCAGGAATGCATTTGTGTCTTACCTTAATCTGCCCCTTTAAGCAAGGTTCACTGCACACAGACCGTACCACTCCACTCTTGTTCATCTGGATTTTGTAATCATCAATATTCAGCACTCCTTCATGCCAGGTTCCAACGTGTACATAGTCATAGCGATTAGCTTCAGTGTACTGCAGATTCATTATATCATACCTACATAGAGAACAATATGTGCATCTTGGAGAGTACAGTCATGACAAAAATCAGGACTTCTAGCACAGCAAGGTGTGGTCCATGTCCATGAGTTTCTCTCTCTTACACACACCAGCACATAATCATGGGAACCCTGTCCTAAAGACCCCATTCCAGGACACTATGGAGGGATTCAGTTTTCACTTAACATCTTTATAATACAATCCAAGTCTGAGCACAAATTTTGGGGTATACCCAATCATTGTCCACTAAGACCAAATTTCAAAACATGAATATTCTGGGGACAAATCATTACCAAAACTGTAACAGGACATAATATACAATACAAAAAACTTCATAAATAAATAATAATAAAGAGAAGGGAGATAAAAGCTCAAATCATCTCATATCCCAACATAAACAACTGTCAACATTTTAGTTCATTTCTAATGTTTCTTTTGATTTCCAGAATATGTATTTTATTCTTTATTCTCTGTGTAATATCCCTGTTTGCTAAAGAATATATTACTTCTATAGTTTTCTCTCTGCTTATCACCTTTCCAAAATAATTCTTTGTGTGCTGAGCTAGTCACCATCATCTGCAAATCATTACTCAGTAGGTTATTTATAGATAGATAGATAGATAGATAGATAGATAAATAGATAGATAATTTTTATGCTTTTTATGCATTCAATCACTGTATATCAGTACAGCATGCAAAATGAATTTTCTTAGCGTGAATACCCTGCATATTATTCCAGTTTCACTATGTTATTCTTTGAACAAGTAGCTATCCATAAAAACTTTAATTTCTTTATTTGATTGCTTCTATCCAAATTTCTTTTTCATATTTAGTTACCATTTTCATTACATCCAATTAAAGGAGGTGAGTTTTACCAGTCTAGGGCCTTTTTAAGTGCTAACAGAGCAAGAAATCTGAGAAAGGCATCTTTAATTAGTACGGATGTTGAGGATTTAACATGTTGTGCATTGACATTTAAACTGATATCTTTCCTGATTAGGACAAATGTTTTTGAAACCAAATAATTGGTGTCAGTTATTTTGGTAATTTCAAATGCCAGAATGCTACACAATGACAAAACACAATTTAGAATTTTTCACTGTAGTAATCATATCACTACACATATGTACATCAAAATATACCTATATGTCATATTCTATACAATATAAATGACCTTTAAGAGGTTTGTGAGAAAATGGAATTAAAAGTACGAGTTTATTTTTGGTGCAGAAAATTTTTGAAATCTGTGCATAATCTTGTGTATTTGTTTTATTTTTTGTTTTTTGCTATAGGGTGCATGCACTCTCCAGAAAGACAGAGAGAGATAGAGAGAGACAGAAAGCGAGAAATCACTCCCCAGGGGGGATGGCCATGCTGCAATCCCTTCTCCTCCATTCTCTTCTCGGGATCTTGGGCATGCATGCACATGCACCCGGTGAGTGTGAGTTTAAGCCTCCAGGTCCGGGACTCGAACAGTGGTAGAATACATGGGAGTCCAGCGACATTGCCATTATGCTAACTGCTGGTCCCTCTTGTTTCATAAAACACATTTTTCATAAACTTTTTTAAAGGAATCTCTATATATTACACACAAGAAAAAAAATTTTTTTAAAAAGTAGACATCTTTACTGCAGCCAGAGTAAATTCCAGTGGCCAAAATTCATCTTTTTTCAGGGCAAGATGTGGAGCACATTCACCAGTGAACTAGAAAGAACATAGAAGTTAGTAAAATGTGTGAGCTGGATTTTTTCTAACCATTAAACCATAGAACATACTACTTAGGAATGTCACTAAACTCTTTAAGTCTCATAAAGTTCTTGCAGAAATTTAATATAAATCATGTAAAAACATGCTTTATGATGGAGACACGTACTTTCAATGTATATGTCTACAGTCTGAATGCTTACATCCCACCCAAATTTGCATGTCAGAAAAGTGCTTGCACATCAATGTTTACTACAGCATTATTCATGATCTCTAAGACATGGAACTAACCCAAATGTCCACAAACAGATGAATGAATGGAAAAAGTGTGGCACATATACTCTATGGAATTCTACTCAGCCATAAAAAAACAAGGCCCTGGCATTTGATAAAAAGTGGTCAAATATGAAGGATCTATTGCTGAGTGAAGCAAGTCAGGATATAAAAGAAAGATATTGTATGTACCACTTACTAAATACCAACTATTTGCACTTTACAGTAGAGATCAAAATATCAGAGGGAATAAAAGCAGTGAAAATAGTTATGGATGCTAGAGACAGTGTGGAACAGGGTGGGACAAGGGAAGAGTACAGAGGACAGCAAGAAAACAAATAGAGAGGCATGACGTTAGTGGGACACAGAAATGATTTATTACCTGTTGATGATAACATGTATTGTATTTTCAACTAGACTGGTCTGAGTAGTATTTCACGTTGGGTAAATTCTTTTTACAAGCCAAATGATATATAGTGATTGAATGTTTAAAATAATAATAATAATAATCTGAAAAAATTGATGAAAAGCTATTTGATGATGATGATGTAGATATTAATATCTTTGTC